TCCGGACCTTCCGGCTCCATTCGCGGCCCGACTGTCGGCCGAGGGTTACGGGGTTGCAAGAGGGCGCGGGAAAATTGAGCCAGAAGGTCCTGAATCACGGGTCAACCTCCCTTTGCGCATCGACGTTTCTTTGCTTAGCTTTGTGTCAAATTCGTGAATTGTGTTGTTCGACAATTGCTAACTATGATTAATTTTTTATGTGATAGTCCGGGTCGTTTGCTATCTAGCTGCGATTAAATTTTATTTTTCTTTATGTTATAAAATGCATAATTTAAAAGTCTTTTGGGCTTGCGCAGGTAGATCTAATATTCGAGTAAATGACTAAAATAAATATAGCGAGACGAGTTATTTTTTATGCTAATAGATTTAACGTTTGCTTCTTCAATTAGCACTTCTCCACGTATATTCCATTTCAGCCTATCGCCAAGTCAAATTTACCGCTTTTCTCAATTTATACGATATAGTCATATTAGTCTACAATAAAATGATTAATTTAGATTTATATAATTTAACCTGCTTTTCAGCTTTTAATTTCAACGAGACATTGGGTGCATACTCATATTATATTGATTTTAGTATTAAATTCCTTCAGGATAAGACGTTTATTTAAAAGATAGAATCGTTCATTACAAGCCTTTGTCTGTTTAACAAACAATACTTAAGTACTTGACCACCAACACATGATACAATTAGTGAATATGAATCTCAGGATGGTAATGCTTAATGTAAAAATTAGTGAATTTCTGAAAAGTGCCAGGATGCTTCGTAAAGTAAACGAATAATTAATTATTTGAAAAGTGAAGTGTAAAATTTAGTGTATATAATGAAAACTCTATGGTTGTCATTTAATACATTTCGCATTTAAAAGTAGTGTTCGAGTATTGAAAATTCGTTACTCTCGCATCATATAGAGTGTGGGGCATTTAATGAAATACAAAAACGAATACAGAGCGATCCAAGTTAAATGTAAGAGATATTTCTAGATACATAGGTATATACTCAAGATAAGTACATATTCGATAATGTTCCAGCAAAAAGTTCATCGAAAGGATAAAATAAAAGAACGAGAGAGAGAGAATGAGAGAGAGAGAGAGAATGAGAGAGAGGGAGAGAGAGAGAGAGAGAGAGAAAGAGCGAAAGGGAATTGTAATAAATTAACAGCAGTCGCTGTTAAGAAATAATTATAGTTTATTATTGTTATCGAGTATCAGAAACGGGTGCGCGGATTTGTCGGGGAGAAGGAAAGAAATGTGGTGGCAAAACGCCGTCGGGGGCTCAATGGAGTTGGTAAACAATATCAACTACAGTGAAAACCTTGAGATTGTTAAATCAATAGTTCCGTGTATAGGAAAGTGGCAGCACGGTGGGGTGAAGCCGACTTACGGGGCGGGGGTGGTGGTGTTGGTGGTGGTAGTTGGGACGAGTGGCGGTCGGTTCACTTTAGAAGAAAAAATTCTGTGAGGGCGAGGAGCCCGTTTTGCAGGACTGCAGCTGCGTTTTTTTTTCTACAGCAGTACAGATGCGTGCGCGCGTAACGCGGTCGCAATTACGAATGCACCGATGATATCTGCGCCTCGGGGAAAAGTTGGAAAAAGCGTCTAGCAGGCCAAGGGGGAGCGCATCGTTGCGGAACGGCGCACAAAGCACTCGGACATCCGGGCGACCGATGAGAATTTTCGGTATTCGAAATATCCCCGTATCGTCTCGATTCATTCTTATCGGCTCGCGTGCCGTCAGTTTCGAGTCGCGACAACGATTTCGGAGAGCCATTTGTGAAAAATGCGCGCGTCCGTCTAATCGTCGCGGCCTCTTCTATAATTTGGACTCTCGATCGCGCGGGGCGTCCAGCGGCCAAATTGGTGCGTTGCGGCAGATCGGGCCGCGAGAATCAAAAGAGGAAGAAGGGATTACTGTTATTAGGTAGCTCGCGCTCGAAGCCGGACTGATTATACCACGGGTTATCAGTCGGCCGCCATATCCGCTCATTCGCATTTATCCCATCGGTCGATCCGCCTTTGCTCTCCCGCTCTCTCTCTCTCTCTCTCCCTTCTACGAGATCTCGAGCTAGACCTCGAAGTTTAGCCGCGAACGGTGAAAAAACGAAAAGTAGCCACGCCCAGCGCGAGTCCGATTTTCTCCAGTCGCGAGAAGAAGATGCCGTGGTGTTGTATATCCGCTTTTATAAAATACTCCTAGCATCCTCCGCTCCGTCGCGTCGCAATTTACAAACAATTAAGTGCGGAGTCCTCGTCTGGCAACATTGTAGCGCCAGCGGAATTTTATCTCCCATCTGTCTAATTAATTGCAATTACTGAATTCACGCGAGCGAGATTATTTTATTGAAAGCGCAATTATGAAAAGAGTACGGACTGGATAAATAATTCAAGTAATAATAATATGAAGGAAAGCGTAGTTGATTGCATTCCGAATGGGAGAAAAGAGGAATGGCGCCACGTACTTATCTGCTTGCCGTTGTGATATTAATGAAAGGACATACGCAGTTATTCGTAGTTGAGATAATTATTGGGCGCTTCGGTGAAGGCTTATCTGGCGCCTGTTCTTGCCTCATTCCCGTCGACATTTTGTTTATTTGTTCATTAGCGCGACGAGAAGAAACACGTTGCTTCCATAATAATGTAAACATGGCAGCGGAGTTGGGAATCGTGGTCGCACAACACTGCTTTTAACCGCATAAGCACAATCACCGAAGACGGAGGGTCCGCCCGAGTCCCGAAATCTTTCTCCCAACGGCCGCTCCTCTCAATTAATATGCGCTCTTAGGGGCGCAAATATCACAGAAAGCGGTCGATCAATCGATCGGGCGTGGGCGAGTGCCCGTGCATGCGCCAAGCCGCCCGAGCGTATAATTACCCCGCCCAGTGGTTGGCTCGGGGGATGATAACACGTCTGCAGTCCCCCGGAGCTCCCGTCATGGCGAGACGAAAGAGAGGCGCTGTCGGGGGCCTCTTCAAAATGCCGCATCGCAGCTATCGTTTAAGTTAAAACGTTCCTGGTCGCGGAAAAGCTTCTACCCATTGACATGTGGATTTCGTTGTTCTGGATTTGTTGTGGATTTCGTTGGACCGGATTCTGAGATTTGCCCCTATGGAATCCCGTCGATCAGATCATCTTTGAGTTACAGTCTGACTGGACACTGATCTCGTTTAACGGCCGATATTGTAAAAGCCGAACTGTCGGACGGACAGCTAATTCGCTTTATATTTCATCCGAATTACGTCCACTTCGAAATATGCTGTTTCAAACTAATTGTGCTAGTTACAATGTCTCTTATTTACTTTGTAGGGAGGCTCGTCGATTTACAGAAGCAAGGCTTCAATTTTCATCGTCTGAGAGAAAGGGGGGGGGGGTTGCCCATACCAATATTAGATTATGATTTACGGAGTGTTCTGTCCATACATTTCATAGAAGTTCAATAATTAATTTTAAATTATGTATATTAAAAAGAAAAATCGATAATTTGCAATTTATAATTTACGCAAATTTTAAGAACAGTTTCTACACTTCCTCTTTAAATCAGAAATTAATTTTGTAAACTTATAATTATTTACAATTAGACCAGCTTGACTAAACTTAATATATAAAAGTAGCTACCATTATTTGTTTAATTAAATTCTACATTGAAGCATATACCTCTACTATTTCATTTATTTAATTTGTAGCAACAAAAATTTTATTATCATTTTCTAAAATAATCTAAATGCTAATTGCCAATCGAATCAAAGATGAATTACTGATTTTCAGTTAAAATCATAATTTAGTTATTAGTTACTATTAATTCCCTATTACTTTTTAATTATTCTAAAATATCTATATCCCGATAATCACATGAAATTTATCTCCGTTCCACGGATGAAGTGAAATAATGAGATTCGATAAAGTGTGAATTATTCAATATTACTATGTTTACATTATTACATCTGTTTAATACATATGTTACATATGTTTAATATTACATCTCGAATTTGGATTTATATTTTCTTAGATTATTAAAATTGTTGCAAAGTATATTTTAAATATTTATCGTTTTAAATGTAGGAGATTTAAATGGAAATTTGTGTAAATGATGTTTTTCTTATTAATTGATCAAAACAAGAAACTGTTTCAATTACAAAAATTACTATTGTGTCATAATGGGACAAATGGAAATCCGATTTTTATATACGAATATCGAAGTTTGCAATCACTTCCGCCTTAATCGAGAGCATTACTTTTATCAATTATTCATGGTAGCAAATGATCCCATAGCCGTTTGTGTTCTCTCAATCTCTGAAAATCATCACAAATCAATTGCTTCAAGTATATATGATCATACCTACGAGTGACTCTATGGTTTCAAAATGAAAGTAATTGAATTAATAGCGAATAATGTTGGATGTGGAAAAATTCGAGAGTAAATCATAGCGGCAAACGAACTGCTGATGATTTGCAAACTTAAGTCCACTATCGGCGAGTGTTTTGAAATCGATCGAAATATAAATAAGTCAAGCGACAAATCGACTCGGCGTTCCCGAATTTCGCATTGCTTATGACGCACGTGTACGTTCGCCCGGGCGCATGCGCGCATTATAGGAGACTCCGAATCTGCATTTATCGAGTTGGTAAACATGCATTTAATTTTCAGATAGTTTTCATCATCGGTGTATTTTAGCCGATTAGTGAATCACGATAGCATCGAATGAGTTCAGAAGTCCCGTGAGTGGAAAAATTGAAAAACTGCGATCGATATCATTAAAAGCGAAAGCTAATTTGTCTTTTGTTTTGAAGCTTTCTTCTATCGCTACATTATTGTTTAACTTTATTGTAATTGTTTATTTTTGCATGTATATATATATATATATATATTCTTGCTTACTCTGCATGCATAAAACAGATGTTTTTACCTTTTTAACCTTTATTTATTAAATAAATACTTGATGTAATTTCAAATTAAATAA